GTTTTCATCAAAAATAATCAAAAACTGATACTAACTCCCACCTGCAGGTGGCAGTATTTCTTACTTCTACTCTGCAGCTGCCTCAGCTTTACTTGATGTCCGCGATCAATGTGGCGAGTAACAAAAAGTCACTTTTACCGCCATACATAAGCGGGAGTATCGCAAACCTTCTTTCAAATATTTTTAAGTTGACTGCACAAGATCAGTAATCTTGACTGCAAAAAGAAGAAAAAAATCACAAATTCTGTGAGAATATGTTAAATATCATTTAATTGTACAAAAAATCTTGACGCTGCCCAAAACAGGCCTAGATTATATCGCTGAAAAACATCACGATACTAGAACTTCAAATCAGTCAATACCGATAATTATTGATTAATGTTTTTCTTTTAAGTACCTGAAATATTTCCAAACTGCTGGGTTCCTGTTTTATCCGTAGTTTTCACACTGCATTGTTCTGGTGTTAAGACCAAAAACTGATTCTGTGGCATTTACTCAACAGGGTGTTACTAGGTAACCAAGCGTGAGTGAGTGAGTTGATGCCACTAACTTTGCTCGGCTAGCTGTGACAGGTAAAGTGGCTAAAGCCTTTACCTGTCACCCGGAATATTTTAGCAGATATTTTGAGGTATATATGCAGTAATAGGTTAAAACTTTCGAAAAAGAAAACTTGTTCCCCATAATTTTATTTTTGCATGTAAAAACCCATGAGGTGTTTGTGTTCCTACTTTCTTGTTCCTGAAGGCCTCCAGCAGGCCGACTGCCTGCTCCACCGTCAGCGGGAAGGTGAGGTGCGGCCCGGAGTAAATCTCCGGCACTTCGATGTTCTTGTAGCAGAAGAACCGCTCCCATTCTGAGTCCCAACAGACATCATTCTCTCTGAAGATGTGCGAGATCAAATTTCCTGGAAGGACAACAAATGTCCAAGCTCAGTTTGTTTGAAAAAACAAGAAATTAAAAATATTTTGATTTACACAAAGCTTACGTTCTGTGCTGGATGGTGTGAAATTGTCCATGAGGTAGCCTAGGAAGTTATAAAGCTGTGAAATGAAGGCGAAAGTAAAATGAAGAATGAGGCGTTGCTTCTTTTTCTTTGTTTGTTGAGTAATTTTAACCTTTGCAGTGGTTTTTACCTTGATCTGGGCTTGTTCTCCGGAGTATTCGATGGACTGGAAGATGTGCCAGGTGTATCTCCGTCTCATCTCTGTGCGAGCAACATATTGCCGGTACCATCGCTGAATCAGGACAGCAGCTCTTATAGCTGAAATATAGGGAGCAGCTGATCAACTATGAGATATAATTATTTAATTTAAATGAAACTTAATTAGAGCAGCAAATCTTTATTTATTTATACTAATAATCTACAGGTTGTGTGCGTCTGCTGAGCTTATCACACAAATTACTTCTCAGTCCAACACTCCTAAGAATGGTTAGAAACAGCATAATGAAAAAGCATTGTTGCAATTATCTTATGAAGGCAGAGTTCTGGAAAGAGCAGAAGCTTCTTAAAGAGACAGAGGTCCGATATTATTTATTTTAGTTTTTCTTAGTATGACCCTAATAATCCATTGTATTTTTAGAACTAAGGATGACATAGTTACTTGATTGTGCAGCAAAATTCAAACCCATTTAATAAAAAGGAGCGTGGCTACACCTACTTGAGCCCATTACTCAACTATCTCATCATTAGAGGCTATTTAGTTATTGTGCTGGACAAAAACAATCACCACCATCTGGTTCTCAAACTTATTTTTGGAGTTGGGGCCATGAACAGGTTTGTAGACGAGGATGAAGAGGGAACAAAAACAGGGGACAAAGCACACAGCCCTGAGGCATGCCATTACTTAAATGAGCTGAGCAGGTGAAGATGCCTGTCGTCCCAAACTAACTACAGCAACAGGACTATAATTAGTTTTTCCACATGCAGATCTTTGGTTAGTTTTCTACAAATATCAGGATGGCGTTTATCCCGAAAAGCAGAACAAGCTCAGAACAGAAGTGACTTACTGGTGACGGCTGAATGCAGAGGAGCAGAAACAGAGAGAATCATAATTCATGGATACAAATAAAGTTTAGATTTATGGAAGAAAACATGAATCTTCTGTTAAATTAAAGAACTGGGGACTGATGATGATGGTTTACCTTTCCTGGAGTGTTTGTGGAACTGGTTGGACTTTGAGACGCCACATCCCATGACTGTTCCTGTTCAAACCCCAGAGAAACTAGGATAGTTAGTAAAAAAATAAGAATACACATATTTAGCTTTCATTTATTTACTTATTTATTTCAAACACGATGTTAAAGACAACTGTAACTACTGAGAAAACATGTGCGTACTTAACTGTTACAAAATAATTAGCTTACCACTACTTTTTTGTTTGGAAGACATTAACACTTATTTAATTCTATCCCTTCTCTCAATCACTTACAGACTCAATACACGTCAGGAATTTGTAATTAAAAACATGTTGCTGGAGAACCAACAAGCAAGTTATATTACATAAAGACATAATCATTACAAACTGACTCTCATAACAAGACAAGAAAATGTACTGACCCATAATAACAATGACAATTGTAAGTAAGAAACAGCCATACAGCATCAGAATAATTACCAACTCCTTGCCAACATATGAATATGTAACTTCTGATTCATTTCAAGAGAGATTACAGCCTTTTTCCCTGATTTTAAAGCAGTTCTGCCTCTGTCCACGTCTCAGATAATAGCTGAGTATTTCAGCAGCAGAAGAGCTAAATCTGGAGGCCATTCATGCTTTAATCTTGTTAACTGCTGGTTTGCTCCTTCCCACTGTGATTGGCCTCAATCCTGCCTCACAAGTCTGTTTTTGTCTCAATTCTCTGAAGCCTTATATAAAACAAACAAAGAAAAAACACAAAAACAGGAAATCTCTGCCCAGATGGGGCATTTTAAAATGTCCAACTTTTATTTGAGTTCAATTAATTAAATAATAATAAATGATTTTTGGGTAGCTAGATACTTTATTGACCCACTTATTGAAAATGTAAATAAACAAACAAGACATCAGTAAAAGAAGGCATAAGCAGCTATTTCCTCTTCTTCCTGCCTGATGCAGTGTTTTATCTTTACATTGGAAGGATTTGGTTAAATCTACTAAAATCAAAAGCTGAATTTTGTAAAAATGTTTATCCTTTGTGATCAAAAACAAAATAAATTTTAAACAGTCCTGAAAACCTTAAAGATGACACAAACATCAAAACGTAGAGTAAGACAGACTTTATTTTCAAATCTGCCGATATTGATAATTATTGATTACTTTTTTGTTTTAAATATCTGAAATATTTCCAAATTGGAGGTTCATATACAGTTTCCAATCCACTCTATTTTTTGTTTTTAAGTAAAGTTTAGGTAAGTTATGAGGCGCAGCAGAGAAACTTTAAACTGCTGCTGCGCCTGTTACTCAGCAGGTCGTTGCTAGGTAACCACAAGTCACTCAGCAGGTCGTTGCTAGGTAACTAAAGAGTGAGTAAGTTAGTTTGTGTTTTGTTTTTGCCCAGACAATTTGACTGATTAAAATTAGATTTTACTTACGTGACAACCTTGCTTATCCGGTGGCAGCTGGCCTGGTTGTTTGGCTCTCTGCCTGCTGCTTCAGTGTGAGTTCAAGCAGCCATTTGCTCAGTTGCATTCTCCACAGGTCTGCCCGGATCAGCTCAGTTACTGCTGTGAGCGAGTCCGATTAGAACATCAACACCGAGGCCCCATGAAGGATGCGACTCCGACTGTCCTGCTCTTCCTCTCTGCAACGCAGCTCGTTTGGTCCTGACTCCCTGACCAAGATCTCATAATCAAAGCACCAGGCCACAAGTGGATTACCTGAGCTAATGACTTGATGCGACTAGAGGAATCTCCACGGTGGCAAGAAGGAAGGGAGCTACTGGTTTTGAGAGGATTTTTGACAGCAGGAGGCTGACTTGGTGTTTATATGTCATCTCAGCAAAATTTAATCAAGCACACACAATGAAGTCTCACTAAAAGGATTTTTGACATTGTCCTGATGAAATCTTGCTAAACTTATGAAGAAAGCAAGTAAATCTTTCAGTAAAGTTCAGACAAGGGTTGTATGAAAAGTATAGGGCAAATGAATGATTTTCAAGGTGTCCAACCATTGTGAATTGTAACTTTTTTGGGGGGAAAAAATTTACTTTTCAGAGTATGTTGGAGTAATTTCACCAAAAACAGACACACACCTGCAGTTTTTATTAATGTGTAATTTATATTGAAAGAAATGACGGATTTTTTTTCCTTTTTGCCTGTTTTTGTTATTTTGTAATTGTGTTATTTATTTGAATTACTTACATTTTGGTCCATCAAATATCCAAAATTTCCACATAACTTCATATTTTTGGTCCACCTGATCATGCAATTTTTAAATATTAAACGACTGATGTTTTGATCAGTTACTTAGTAATTGAGTGACCTCATTACCAAATGCGTTTTTACTCTTACCTGAATCATTTTTTGTTTGGGCTGCGATGGGGTTGTGGCTACTTTTCACTTTTACTTGAGTAAAGATATGTTTTGAGTATTTCTGCTAAGTTTTGGGCACACTTCCCACCTCTGTCCAATTTCTAACTTCGCACAAAAGCTTTGTCTTTGGGTATTTTGGAAATTAGCTTCTTTAATGGAATGATTGGGTTCAACCTCATAGATTAGATGAACGTTGTAAAAACAAGCACTTGCAAAACAGCTAAATCAACCACAGTCAACAATTAGCTTACATTTTTCCCTGTTCCTTTCCAGTTTTTAATAATTATTCTGTAAATATAGACATATATATGTATTAAATCTCTTTTTAATTTGACCTCGATAATTTCTAGTTTCCATCTACTTCTGTGTGATCATAAACCAAAACCAACCTCAGAAGCCTTGTTTTGTAAACACACTCGAACGTTGGTGTTCTTGAACAGCCCTCTAACCACAGCAGAGACAAACAGCGGCAACGGGCAACGGTAAGCTAATGCTAACGTGGCTAACATCCTCTCTGCCTTTGACTGCTGCAGCTAACTCGTTGTCATCCGCTTTACTTCAGTTGTTTACATACGTATCTGAAACAGTTTGAGTCGCTAAAGTTATGTAGAATAAATTTAGAAATAAATATACTTCTGATAAAGAGGAGATCCAAAACTATTCGCTTTGGTTGGATAATGATAGACACACAGAGGTCATTTCAGGTTCACTTGTCACAAACTAATAAGTAAGTAAATGTTGCTGGATGAGAAATTGTTCTTGTAATTATAGCGATAAATGACAACGTCGTTGTTTTGAGACAATTTTCATGGCATAATAATTCAAATTGGCACTGTCAGTCACCAATAAACTTTAATTTAGCAAAGATCACTAAACAATATTTTAAATATCAAAAATAAAACCAAAGACAATAAATAAAACAAAAATAAAAACCACTTACATGTGAAACCATCAATTAAACGGGTCATTTTATATCTGTAAACAAAATTTACCTCCAAAAATTATTAATTATTAGTAGGGAAGTGATCAAGTTAATTTTAATTCATTGATTAATTGCAACTTATCAGGCAAATATTGATTAAGATTTTTAAGGTGTGACCTCCAGATTACATTTTTGACTGATATTACAGTTTGGGGCTTGTTTTTCTTTTTTAAAACAAAAGTTAAATTGTGCTATAGGATTTTTGCTAGAGGTTATAGGTTTGAAACCAATATAAAATGCAAAACTTAAAAGCTTTTCAGCATTTAAACCTTATGCCATGTTAGCTTAAGGTGCATGAAAGACAAGAAAGTGCTTCCTTAATAAAATGTGTTGATATTTATTAAGTAGGATAAATGAAATCGATATTGATCTTGTTCAACACCTAAAGATATATTACTTTCTAGATGTGGAGGTAAGTGTTCTGTTTGCATTCTGCACCAAAATCTTTTAAGAAAAATAAATGAATTCCTCTTCATCTCAAAGGGTTAAAAATAGGACTTTATTTTGGTGATCTGTGGCTCTAAAGCTTAAATTAACTGATTGCCTCTGGATGAACTTTAACCTAATGAGGCTGAAATCCCGCCGGTGGCCATTTGTATAAAGTCTGTCATTCATTTTCCATCTACACTCAACTACACCTACTAAATAAAACAATAAAAAGAAAACATGGATCATATTTATATAAATTTCTCATAACTTTGGTGCTTGAACATGGAGCTGACACTGCAGAAAAAAGTATTGGTCTCTTACTCTTCAGTAAACTAAACATTATAATGTTTCATGTCTTCTATTGTAGCTGCAGAGACGTTTCTGTTTTTGGAGATTTCAGGGGGAAACCAAAATGTTTGATTGGATAAGGCGAGGAGAGCTGCACAGTGTGTCTCTGTCTGAACCGATCTGGGTCAAATTAATTACCTTCGTGGTATCAGAAGATGCTGGTCACATGTAGGTAATAATCAGTGACTGTTCAACGAGTCTAAAACAACGTTATTCAAGTTTTATTCTGAGGGAACTTAAAACTTCAGAGTGATCCTTGAAGACTTGGCAATCCAATCTCCGACAGTTTTTATTATGACTTATGAACATTGAAAGTTTACACTGTAAGTTAAAATAATCAACATTGTGTTGCTTTTGATCATTTCTACTAATCATGTATATTTCTGAATTTGTTTTATTTCAGACTCAAAACTTGTTTGCTAAATGTTCTGAAACATCAAAAACATAATTATTTTTTTATTCTTAGCCACTTTTTCTATAATTTAAGTGATTTTATAAATCACGAAAGACCAAATTGTTAACATAGATTGCATATAAAATGTTTTAGTTGCCATACGTAACCCTGTATTTTTTATATTGTGCTATTCAGAGTAAACTGTGAACTCAGTCATATGATGAAACCATATTTTATGTGGGAGAGGATGTCTTTATCTCTAAGCAGTAATCCTTTTTTTACACTTCCACTTGTGCAACAAGGAGGAAACCTCAGCTCAGCGGCTTGCAGCCATCGAAGTGATTCATTGGCTCGGTTTAAACTCCTGATTGGGTTGGAAGATGAAGATCGCTTTGTTGGGAGCCACAGGGCAGACCGGACAGTTTCTGGTCAAACAGGCGCTGGAGCAGGGCCACACGGTCACCGCCATCGTCAGGAACCCGGCGAAGCTCACAGTGCACCATGACAACCTCAAGGTAAAATGCAACCAGGGTTCAAAGTTCAGGTGCGTTTATGGAGCCACATATTCAGCACTTTGTTTCTTTCAGAAGCTGAACAATAACAGTAAACTGTAACACAATATATAGTTTTGTGATGGATGCAAGCTTTGAATTTTAATTTAACCGAAAAGCTAAAAATAATCCTCGTTTTACTAAAGATCATGTTTAGTCTGGTGTAACTTTAAAGGGGACCTGTTATGCCAAATTTACACTTTTCACATTTTTATGCTTTCATTTGGGTCTCAACAGCTTCGAAAAACAACCCAGGCTCTTAAGAAAACACCCAGCTGTTTTTTTAGCAGCAAGTTAAAGTTTTTTTGGTGTCTGGAAAAAGAGCCGTTTTCAAAAACCTCCAGAACGTAACGTGACAAATCAGCAGACACTGGCCGTTAGCAACCCCAGTGAAGCCCAGCCCATTACCTGGTTTTACTGCTGAATGTCTCGTACAATGGCTGCTGGAAAAAAGCAAGTGTTTTTCTGTTGACTTACCATCCAGAACCCACTTGCTGCATTCTTGTTGATTGTGCGGCAGACTCTATTTCTGCTTTTCAAAGATATGGTTGTATAATCGAGCCTTTTTTTTTGCAGCCATTTTCCCGTGCGAGTGTAAACATTGAGTTGGTGGACGTGGCCAGCAGCAGCTTGTTTGAATTTAATGTGACACAAGGCTCTAAGTCAATCTCTACAATCTCATTATCTAAAAATAATTTAAAATCTAAAAATATCTAAAATAGTTTAGTGCAAAAATATATTAAACATATTTTGTATCTCCTATATCAATGGAGGTTAAATGTCCCACATTTAACTGCAGTCCTACCAGTTTGTGTAGGTTTGTAGCCCAGTCCTGTTTTATCATTTTAAATTAAATATGAAATATTTTACAATATTTTGCGAATTGTAAATTGGTGGTAAGGTTCTCTGTTTCCAGATCAGGATCGGTTTTATTTCACTCCTTGTGTGAAACGAGGCGTGAAGTCAGAGCAGGAGTCATGAAAGATGTCAAGAACTATTTTAGCTACACATGATAAAAAATGTAGCCAATCAATGTATCAATTGATACAAGAAAATGGCCGCTTGTCAAAGAATCGTTAAGCTCAGTGAACTTGTTTCCACATTAGCTACAAACCTGAGGATAACAAGCCTGGTTCTGCTCATGTTTTCTCTGGTTTATCTTTGTGTTTCCCTGGATCAAAATGGCTTCATGTCGTCCTGCTGTCTGCCTCCAGGTTGTGTCGGCTGATATTTTCTCGGCAGACAGCCTGAAGCCTCATTTCAAAGACCAGGATGTCGTCATGTCCTGCCTCGGCTTCCCGGCTTCCGTCTTCTCCGGTGTGACGGGCTACACCATGTCGATGGCGGCCGTGGTCGGCGCCATGAGAGAGGCCCGGGTCAACAGGGTCATCACCATGACCTCTTGGTACACAGACCGTAAGTGGGCTGCACAGGCCAGCATGTTAAATTTATTGAAGGTGTTGATAAAAACCATTAATATTGGAACCGATAACCTGCTTATCCAAAGGGATAATAAGTCTTCAAAGACAGACTTATTATCCCTGATTTAATGTCTCTTGCAGATGAGAGATTTGACTGGTAGTGCTGCTGTGGTTATGATTGTCTTCTTGTATATCTGCTTTGTGTGAGATTTGTTTTATGTTGCTTAGCTAACTCTGGAACCCAGTCTCCGTTCCTGATCCGGTTCCTTCTCCTGCCGATGATCCGCAGCGTCCTCAGCAACATGTACGAGATGGAGCGCTTCCTGCAGAAAACCGAGGACATCAACTGGACCGTGGTTCGGCCGCCCGGCCTCAAGAACCTGGGAGCCTCAGGTGAGAGAAAACCTCAGGCTGTAGCCACAAGTAGAAAAAAAAAACAGAATAAAATAAAGCGGAGGTTGTTGTTGCAGCTCAGGAGTTTCTGACCCACGAGGGATACTTTGTGCCTGACAGCAGCGGTCAGGTGGGAAGAGGAGACGTGGCTCGCTTCATGCTGTCCCTGCTGAACAGCAACGCCTGGGTCAAGAAGGGCGTCGCATTCACCACCAAATAAACAAGAGACGTTTTCTGGTTTTGCTGCACTACAAAAACAAAATCTTCCCAAGTATTTTGGTCTAGTTTTTAGTGCAAATGTTTTAGTTCACTTGAAATAAAAACTAACTCATAAGCTAGGTTGTTTAGAGTCAACAACTCCTACATATGGCTGAAAAAGTTTTAGTTTTTCTCCTATAATGTTGGGACAGTTGCATAAGTTATGGAAATATTTACTTAAAACAATAACTTCGCTGAGAAGTTATTGTAATTTATCTCAAGTGTAGTAAGATATTTTCAGTAGAAACTAAGAAAATTACTTGGTGAAATGTTGTGCTTTACATTAACCAAAGCTTAAATGAAGAGGCGTCCTCACTGTGCCTGCTCTTATTACTAAAAATAAATGTCATATGTTGTGTTCCAGTTGAAATGCATCATAAAAGTCCAGTTTTGTCTGCGCTCTTGAATTTATCCGTCTAAATGACCAAAAGAAGAATTAATTCACTGGGCTTTAAAATATTTCTGATTCAGTTTATAGGCGGTTATCACCATTTAGTCACTACTCTTACGGTACTAAAGGGCAAAAATGATTGATAGGATCATTTTTCCAGACATATGAATATTTAATAAGTCTGTAAACACGTTTCCCTAATAAAACTATCAGCTTTACTTAATCTGAGATTTGAGTTAAAGTTGTATTTAGAAAGGTTTAGAAAATCTGCAGCGTTTTTGGATGAACTCTGTTAAAAAAATATTCTTACGGTGGATAAAACATTACAGTTATTATCTTGATGAATGCCTTCATTTACTCTGATGTGTTTTTATACTCTTAAAATCTTTTGGCATGAAAGTCCAGAAATATGAGAATCCAGAAGAGCTACAATCCATGAAACAAAAAAAAAAAAAAAGCAGCCTTAATTGAATTAGGAAAATATAAGATTTTTCTTGTGTAATTTTTGAAATGTAAATTATAGTGCCATAACAAATATGTATACTGAGAAAAAAAAGTAAATGTCACAAAAAATGATTTTGTTTAGTTGACGCAACATTAGTTTTCATCCTTATGAATCAGTCAGAAGGTAAAGGTCACGCAATGAGCTGCAGAAACGACGCAGAAAAAAAAGTGAAATAATAAAATACTGAAATTATACGTGGTTTTAATAAATGTCAATTTTAAATCATTTCAATTTATTTATCTATTTAAATGCAATATTACATTGTGATTTGTTTGGCTCTTCATATTCTTGCACCAAGTTGCAAACTGAAATAAAATATATAACAAAAAAAACTTGTTGTTGCTAGGTCTGTTTGATTTGCTCCAAATCACTCTCTTTTATTGACAATTTACAGAAAATATATCACAGAATAAATATATATTTTCAGTAGGAGTGGAACTATAGACACTCATGTTCGATTTACAATTTGCAGTTGGGGTGATTGGACGAACACAGACCGTCGAGTTCATTTGTTTGACAATATATTCACATTATAAAACATGTTGACCTTCTGTTTGCCCAGATGGAGAATTTTACACGATGCTAAACAGGAGGTCAGATTTTAAACAGCTGCTGCAAGACGAGAATGAAAACCTTTAAAAGTCAAAGTGGATCAGTGCTTAGAAAACATTCATTAAACACGATAAAGATGTAAAAAGCTTACATTCCTAGAAGCTAAATGACGGCAGCCTCATTTGTTGTGTCAGGGTGCGGCGGAGCGCGGCGGCGCTTTGAGGCATCGAACGTCGAACAGCATAAATATGATACAACAGACAGATTTACAGAGGCGTAGGCAACAGAGGTCTGCTCTGAGTCTTTTACTTCTCCAGGAACCACAGCTGGACAGTTCAGTGCGAGTACAATTTGTCAATTTTGTCCTGGTACATTTTCACCACAACGGGCCGCCTCAGTTTCATGGTGGGTCCTGCACAAAAAGGAGAAGAGAAAAGAAAAGAACGGTTGACTGAACAACAGGTTTCTATTTGGAGCGAAACTTCTGGAGTTCAGAAAAAAACCATAAAATCCTCAGACATGAAATCTGACCTGCAGTTAATCCGTTAATCACATGATAAATTAAAACGAGCTCCATCGTTTCCATTCTCACGTTATTTTGTTTACACAGACCTCATAATACGTTTTAATGGATTTGGGTGTGTTTTTGTTCCATTTTATTTATTGATTTTAGATATCTAAAATGTCTTCCAGTTCCAGTTTTAGATGGAACGGGTCTTTGAAGAAGCAAACTTGCATTATTCTAACATTATCAATATATTACATGAAAATTGTCTCAAACCAAGAATATTATCATTTATCTCAGTAATTTCTGAAACAACTTGTCGTCCAGTAAAATTTATTACTGATTTTAACTGCGATAACAATTAAAATGTAATATTTTGTCAAAAACAAAAGAAAATAAAAAACCAAAAGTATTTCCTGACCCAGTTCTCCTCCGTTGACAGAGAAATCTTTCTCCAGTAGGACCCACTTCTGGACCTTCTGAGCGTTGGACGTGGATTTTTTGTTGAATCGGTTGATGCCGTCCTGAATGGCTTTGTAGAGCGCTGGCTCCTTATTGGCTACGATCTCTGACACCCTGGTGGAACTGATGTTGAGCTGCCGACAGAAGCTCAGCGCCTCGCCGCTCAGGTTGTCCGTGGGGTTGCCATCGTTGTCCATTATGCACTGCGGACGCAACAACATCGGTCACACCTGTTCACTGATGCGGCGGCTTTTTGGAGGTTAGCAGAGGCGAGGAGTTTGTTACTTTGAGCGTGAGCAGCATGGAGAGGAACTTCTGCTTGTCGCCGATCAGCATGGCGTTGCTGATGATGGGAAGCTCGAGCTTCACCGCGTCCTCGATGGGGACGGGGGCGATGTTCTCGCCGCCGGCGGTGATGATGATCTCTGCAGAAAAAAAAAAGACATTCTGCTTTATGACTTACTGATTTCTGGTCATCCTTCATGTTTCTGACAAAACACTAAATTTTCTGTATAAATTCAGTAAATTATCCGTAAAAAAAAAATAAATGGAAGAAATGTCTAAATGTCTGAAGAAGTATTTCCCAAAATGTTGTGGCAACCGAGATTTAACTTTTAGAGAATAAAAAAATAAGAGAAAAAACCCCAGAATGAATTATTATGGTTTAGCAAAAGAGTAATAAAGTATCATAGAAATGCCAAATTATGGTTTCAGCAGTTATGTTTTCTTTTTGTTTGTGCAATAAATGTTCAAGAATAAAAGTAAAATGTCTTATTTACTGCGAGCAGAAACCAAAGAATAGAAACAAAATCTCTGCTGAGTTCTCAGGTAGTAATTCAGGTTATGCACATATTTAAATGGAAGTAACCTTAACCTAAGTAGGAATAAATGTTTCCTATTGTTATAATTGTTTGTGTTTTTGCGTCTCATTAGTTCAACAGTCCTGATCTGCTTGTACTCACAGACTGAAACGGATTAAGATCTAAATGTCAATGAAAGATTGTATCAGATAACAGCAGCTTTTTAAGTTCGATGTTAAAATTACCTTTTTGCACGGAAAGTACTTTTCAAATGAAGTTTTGTGTCGTGTGGTCCCATAAAAAGATTGAATAAATCCCAGTAAATTCAGTTTGTGAATGTCACTGTGAGTTTAGTTTATTATTGTGAACACAAACAATAAACTTTACTGATGTAAAACCTTCTAGTAAAATATCTTCGGGAAAGTTTTATATAAAAATCAGAATAACATAAACTTTAACAAATAAACTGTCTTAAGGTTTTCAGTTTTGTTCCCAGGTTCTAAATGTTACCTTTTATTCTTCCTGTGATGTAGAGGAAGTCGTCCTCGTCATGTTTGCCCAAGTCTCCAGAGTGCAGCCAGCCTTGCGGATCCAGCGCCTCGGCCGTTTTATCGGGCATGTTCAGGTAGCCCATGAAGACGTGCCGGCCCCAGAAACAGATCTCTCCGTTCCCATCCGCGTCCGGTTTGTCCAGCTTTGTTTTGCAGCCCGGCAGAGCTCTCCCAACGCTGCAGAGGGAAACCACAGAGATGAGCTCAGTGCGTTCAGTGTCTTTGTTTGTAAGCCGTCATGTTGATGGTTTCGTTTTCTTTTACTTCTCCTCAGCAGAAACAGACAGAGAGTACAAGAAAATCCAGAAATTAATCTGACTGGCCTTTATTTAGAGTCTATTTTCTCAAACCAAGCATAATCTTACTTACATTTTATTTATTCTTTTTCACTTACAGGAAGAATCGGCGTTGTTGCAACATAGAACAGACACTTTAAGCTTTAGGCAGATATGTGTGGCTCCAATTCTTGTTTTTATTTTTAAAGAAGCTGATCAAATGCATCTTTAAAGAAGCCAAACTGATACAACACGCCTTAACATTGTAAATGTATGCAAACACTAAATGTTTTACTCAAAGCAATAAGTCCCATAATGCATTGCTTCTGACCTTCCAATGCGATACTCGTGGATGGAGCTGGTGTGCGGGCCGGAGCTCTCGCTCATGCCGTACAGCTCCTTCACCGGGATGTTCAGGCTCATGAAGTAGTCCAGAGTTTCTTTGGTGATGGGAGCGGCTCCAGTGGCGCACAGCTTGCAGCGGTCCAAACCCAGCTCGGCCCGGACTTTCTTAAACACCAGACTGTTGGCCAGCATGTAGCCCCACGGCACCGAGTTCTCCCTGCAGCCAAGCAGATGCAGAGCGTCCCAATGAGCCGCCATGCTAAGATCTACTCATGTTTGATAACTTTATACATATGTGACTTTCCTATGAACTAAATCAATTTAAGCGCAGACCTGCCTCATGTAGAACATCTCATGTTTGGTGTTTTTATTGTGTTATTTTATTTTAAATAGTTAAAAACTCATAATAAAACACATCATAACAATCCTTGCACATATCTGTCTGATGACATCACAAAAGGAACAAAGCAACACACGAGTGACTTTCAATGTATAAATATGTACTTTTCCTTTTTATTTGCGTTTAGTCAAATTTCTGCTCAAAAAGTTTAGTTTATTTCTGATGGGCTGTAGCAACACCTTGATCTATTTTTTCAAACACAGCAGGAAAATCTTGGGAACAAAAAGACACTCAACGGTTGTTTAGAAGAAGATCACAATAGTCTAAACTGAACTCAAATGTTTTGAAATCTGTCACACGTTTCCTTACGGTTGGTGGTTAGCTCCAGTGTTGAATCAATAAATCTTTGGAAAAGAATGAAAAGAAAAACTGTATTTTTTAAAATTACACAATAGAAATACATATTTCTCAACCCATACAGGTTTTATTAGCTTACAGAGATGCAAACATATATTCACACTTTTTGTCACTTACATTTCAGCTCATCAAACAAAATTTAAAAGCTACAACAAGATACGCTGAGTCAATATAAACTGCAGGTTTCAAATGTTCATTTGATTTATTAAAGGAAATAAGTGATCTAAACGACCGGCTCAATGTGAACAAGTATTTCCTCCCTCACTGTTCATCATAGCAACAATCAGCCTGATTTAAACTTTTTTTTTCTTTTCCATATAATATTAAATTAAAGCTTAACTTGAAAACTGCATAGGCCTGACAGTGAAATTAGTTTGATGATCTGAAACATTTAAAATCAAAACCAGAAGATATCTGTAAAAGGTAAATAGTTTTTCCCAGAACTCTGTAATTGTTGGTTCAAAGACAAACACAGCATATGATGCTATCTTTACATAAAAACTGTGTTTCTCCTCACATTGTGCTTGAAGCCGACTCACCCGCTCATGGCGCTGTAGGTGTACTGCAGGCCGATGGCCTTGGCCCAGTCCGCGACCCTCTTCCTCAGCGCTGAGCCTTTGGCTCCCACAGCTTTCATGCTCTCCTGGATCTTCTCCCAAACCCGAGGAACGCCCAGGAAGCCGGTCGGACGAGCCTCTTTCAGCGTGTTTACCAAAGTTCCCTGAAAAAAGAAACAACAACGGTTGACAATATTAACCCCTGGAACCAGC